GATACACCCACGGGCTGTGTAAGGGCAAGTCGGGGCAGACGTTTCTAACTTCTCCAGCGCTTGTAGTCCTTTACTGTGGAGACACATGAAGTCTTTTCTTTCACTTCTGAAGCAGTCAGCATGTGAGTTTTGAAACCTACCCTGCAGGAGCACAGCAGAACCCCTGCCTCCCGCGCAGCTGGCTGGCCCCGTGTGGCCTCTACGACTGCCCCTCCTGGCAGGGGTGTCCCAGGCGCCCCGGGTGCCCCTTGCCGGGAAGCTGCATGCACTCCTGCTGGGAGGCACAGACGGAGCAGGATGTGGACCCTTGACCGAGAATCTGGGTGAAACACTGCTTGCAGCGGGCTCCCAACGCCCACTCGCTGGCCTCTGTCTCCTCAAGTGACACCAGGGCTTTAAGGAACGGTCTTAGATTTCATTGCCTCACAGCTGACTTTTGGTAAGCAGCCGATGAGATGTTAGATGGCTAGATCTGGCTCTCTCTCATGGAAGCAGAGTTGTGCCATATGGTCAGGGTGCTTCGCTTGCTAGTGTAAAATGCATTGCTCTAAGTCTCAGCCGTTGGCTAAGGATTAACGCTCGAAGGCTGCCAAGTGGAAGGCGCTCAGATGGGCTGGGCTCCCGCTGCCACCACCCACACGTTACACGTCGGAATGGACAATTAAGCTGATGAACGATGTGCTTTGACCAGAAAGGTGGGGCAGTAGAAACTTCTAGCCCTGTGCAACCCTGTTCTCTAGATGAACACAACTCTGCCTCACGCAGCTGGTGCGGAGCCTATGCCTGCGCCCACGCACAGCGCATCTGGACACGCCCACCTCCACTGAGCGCCGACGCACGCTAGGCTCAGCCCAAGCGCGGCGAACCCCGTCCCTCCAATCAAAGAGCTCATCCCATGTAACTGCAGGCGTTGCTAAGCGAAGCCACCCATCCTGCTAAAGATGAATGAAAACCATTCTCATCTCAAAACAGAAAGCACACTATGGAGCAGGCTACGGAGAAAATCACGGTAAAACTTTATGCAAATCCCCACTTAAGTCTGCTCTGCAAAGAGCCACGAGACGCGGCTGGTACAGCCCAGGCTTGCCTTCTGCACTGGAGGCTGGTGCAGCCTACAGGGTGATGGATTATACATTCTGAAGTGCGCTCAGGGGCTGTGGAGCCAGCTCAGTGGTGCAAGCATTTGCTGGCAAGCACAAGGTCCCGGCTTCAATCCCTGGTACCTCAAGCTGGGCTGGCCCCTGAACCAGGTGTGGTGGTGCACACCTGTAATCCCAGTGCTGGCGAGGCTGAGACAGGAGGATCACTATGAGTCCGAACTGCCTAGTGAGAACCTATATCCAAAATAAACAAATAAATAAAAAAGTGCATTCAGCCTCGTTCTATGCCAAACAATAAAGGACTTAAAGAAAAACTTGAGCATGGAAGGGTATTTCCTCGCTTTGTCAGAGCTGACACTGCGACAAAAACAAGAAAGGATTCAAGTACAGTGCACCTTGTTGTGCTTCTCCTCTTCAGTGTGGGACTAGGAGCAGCCTGCAGCCCCGTCCTCGGCTGAGGGGCCCGTCCTCTGCTGCTGGGGACCGCAGTGGTGTGCCAAGGTCCCTCCTCTCCCTCCCCGTCACTGGAGACCGCCCCAGCACTGCCACTCCTTCCTCTGGGGTCACTTCCTGAAGAGCCCTTCTCATGTCTTCTCCACTTTCTTTACTTATGACCCGTTTAGTGTTTGGGTCTCCACATCTCCATGTACATATTCAGCTCATCTCTCTCCTGGGAGGGTCTCCCTGCCCCACCTGTCCTCATGCGGCTAACATGGCCCACCAGGCTGTGGTTTCAGTGGTCCCTATGAGGGACGTGTTGTTTTCTATCTTCATCTTTATTGTGGTTTAACTGAAAAATAAAAGTAGTGTATATCCAAGTGTACACGTGGCGGTGTAACATACGCTGCGGGGCGATGACCACAATCCAGCCAGCACGCACAACGTGGCACACACTGCAAACTCTGTGTGTGTGTGTCCTAAGGTCTAGTGTCTTAGCGTGTGTATACGTGTGTGTGTACAGTCTCTTATCCATTCATCTGCACGTGGAAACTCTGGCTGCTTCTGTATCTCGGGTACCGTGACTGATACTGAATCTGGCGGCACAGTCGCTCCCTGAGGCCCTGCTTTATTGCTGGCATGTACACTGAGAAGTGGGCCTGCAGGACGATGTGGTGGTTCTATCTTTATTGTTTTTATTTTTTACGTGTTTGGTCCAGGGTCTCACTGCACAGCTTGGACTCATAGTGATCCTCCTGTTTTCAGCCTCCCCAGCACTGGGATTGCAGGCGTGCGCCACCACTCCCCGACTGATTCTATTTTTATTTCATAAGGACTCACAATACTTGTGTCTACAATGACTGTAACAATTGGCGTTTCCACGAGAGCACACGAGGAGTCACACATGTGGCACACACGCTGAGTAGGACGCGTCTAGACTTAAGAAGGTCAGGAGGCCACGTTCACGTGATGACAACTGCAGTGCCCGCAGGTCCTCAGGTCACCGACCAAACGTTCCCCCACTGGAAGCTGCTGGCCTAGTGCGGCGAGCCTTTCAGAGCTTTCCGTGACAGTCCGTCGCAGCACGTGTGCCGAGGTTCGCCATGATGGGGACATCTGAAGATGTCATAAATCATCCCTGAGTTCTTGTCTGTGAAAATCTGGATGCTTGACATTATCACAAGGACGAGAGTTAGGCACTTCTTCTGCCCGAGGCAGCGGTCCTCCTCCCGGTGCTGCACCCTTACAACCTCCTAAGATAGGAACTTCGTCTCTAGCTTGCAGGGAGGAAATTAAGGTCAGCAATGTACTAAATTGCCCCAAATCCTAACTACTGCGTCAGTGAGGCGCAGCAGGGTGTGAGCGCAAACTCTGGTCCAGGTCGCTCCAGGACCCGTATTCGCACCCCGTGGGGCAGACTGCAGAATCCTGAGAACACATCTTTAGGAATTTGATCAAGCCGACTCTATTTTCGTGGGAATGAGGCATCTCACCCGACCCTGGTGTCTCCTAGATGCCTACCTCTCACAAAGTCCGTCATTTCTTAAATATGCAAAGTAGTTTATCACAACCACGACACATTTTATCTCAAAGGTGAACATGTCAATTCCTATCTATAAAATATGAAGGTGATGACTTAAAAAAATGCTGGATGTGGTGGCGCGCGCCTGTAATCCCAGCACCTCAGAGGCCAAGGAAGGAGGGTTTCTGTGACTTTGAGGCCACTCTGCCTCCAAAAAACAAAGCAAAACACAAACATGAAAACAAAATAAGCTGGCTCATGCAGGTTCAGTTAACTTTAGGAAAATGTTTCATTTTTAATTAGGTTCGCCATGCGCAGCAGCAGCAGGCTCAGGATAGAAGGCAGCTGCATCCCAGCGCCCTGGACCCCGGCCTCCAGAGGGCGGCCGCATCCCAGCGCCCTGGACCCC